CTTACGCTTCAAGGAAATGATGATCGCGAATAAACATTCGTGACGCTGTGTAGCTTGTTTGTCTTGCATACCATGCCGCACGAGGCAATAGAGCGTGAAATCTCACCAGCAATAAAGCAACTCCGAGCCAATCAGACCTCGTTTGAATATTCTTCATTAGTTACAACGCGTGCGAGCGCTGCTTTTGCTTTTTGAAAGAGAAACAAACTCGCCTTCCTTCACTTTTCAATGCTGTAGTTTTAGAAAGAATATGGCTACGGATCTTGATCATAAATAATAAATATTCATGAGAAAATTAGAACCAGAGAAAAAGTTCGGATAATCGAGAAATCCGGATAATCGAGGTTGATAGGCTGGGTTGAAGGAATTTTCGTGTCATCAGATGGGTTTAAACGATTCCAAAAAAGTAATTTTATAAATAAGATTGAATGAATAGTCTTGCTTTCGTCATTGCCTCATGTTTGCCTTATGATCGAATAACTAATTATTTTGGTAGATTCCACTGCCCCTCTTTCAATAATTTACCCTTTGGAAATTGAAAATCAATCCCTGAATGCTTCAAGTTGTTGTTTATTTACTTGTTGGTTAAGAACGAAATATTTCAAAACCGAAAGATTTTTTAGATTGGCGAAAAATTTATCGAAATATTGACCATTAATTGATAAAATTCAGCATCGTAAATAACGTAGAATTCACAGAGTTTTCTTTTTAACAGAAGCTGCATATGTTTATGGTTTCTTCAGTATCCTTTTAGCCAGCAGGTTGTTATTGCTTTTCAAGGTCTTCTTGAGGTAGCTATAGAATGCTATGGTGACGATCTGCTACTTAGCATGTGTTAGAAATTTCTATCAACCGGTGCAAAGTTCTTTGGAAGCACGTACTGTTCGCCGAAAAAATCTGAACGTCTGCAAATAATTTTTTAAATGACTGTCGTCAAAGCATATTGTGTGTACTTCACTTTCACTTGTGAAAATTCTCACTTGTTTATTTTACTGAGCTCTAAAGTGTTGCACAAGATATTTCAATATGAACTCATAAATTCTGAACTGAGTTGGTTTGTTTGATTGTTTTTTTTTCTCAGATCTTTCAAAGGTTGGATGAAGCTGTAACAGTTTATATTATTATCGATGTTCTTTCTCTACAGAACGATTTGAGTAAGTACTCTTGGTTTGTTATCATCTTGCCTACTCTTCAGCTACAGTAGCAATCTGCTTTAGTTAATAAAGGGAATGGCGTGAAACAGTATTCTACAAGAGGTAGATGTTTTTCGTCTTGTCACGAGCGTGGGAAAAAGGAAAAATTCTGAGTCCCCATGAAGAATCGAACCTCAGACCTTCGGATTCCGCGCTCCGATGCTCTACCACTGAGCCACAAAGACTCTACGGTGAGCGAGGTCTATTACGAGGTTCATATGACACGCGTCCTGCTAGATTACTACTGCTAGATTAGCAATTTCGATAGCATCATGTTTGTAAATAGAATAAGAACGAAAAAAAAAGTACATAGAAAAAAAAACGAAAGAAACATGGTAGAGCAGCGGAATCCGAAGGTCTGAGGTTCGATTCCTCATGGGCCCCTTAAAAAGATTTTGTTTTGTCCCACACTCGTAATACCATCTTTCTCTATTTCTTTACCAAGCTCAAAACGTACCATCTCTCTTATTCTGTTAAAGATCAAGCTCATCAACCTGGGTTATATCTAGTACAGGTGCATTTTAAAATTGGGTTGTTCTCGGGTTTCTACCGAAGCAAACGATCAAGAACGTATTGTAGGACTTTAAAACGAAAGTACCTGCACATGATCAATTTTTGAACATTGTTTTCTCGACATACTTCTGGTACATATTTAGTTACTGTCTCTAATTTTCTCCTCAGACAGATGGACTAAAAGTGTAGGAGACTGAAGTCGCAAAGATGGGTAGGAGTATATTTATATAAAATATGAACTGAAAGAAGCTCTATGTTGAGGAAGACCTTTTGAGTTCACTTAAAGAATCCCGAAATTTAAAAACAAAAAGTTTTTAAAAAAGGCGACACCCATTTTTTAAGATTGGGACGATCAGGAGGATGAAGGTGTTTCATTTTGGTATTCTCGTTGTTGATTTCTCGGTAGATGATGACTTCAATTTGATTCAACCATCGCTGATCCAACAGTTGAGGACCATTCTAGATCAGTATCCAGATGATGGACAGATTTTGAAGGTGAAGAAAGCACACAGGCTCATAGTTATATAAATATACCTACACGTTTTCAAAAACGTTGCAATTTGAAAAAAATATATGAAATATATATATCTTCATGTTTATAATATGTAAGTAGATATATTTATTTTTCTCAGAGGACATGGTAACGAATCCTGCCATCTGATTGGTTCTTAGCGCGGTCCGTATTTTCCTATCTCT